CTAAAGTAGATTTGGGCTATGTTGGGTAAGCTTACATGTTGACAATCAATTATCAATTTGGAAGAATTATACATATGTAACCAAGAACACTACACAGCTTAATATGTTTCCCAGATTAAAAATCCCAGATCATTCTGGCAGCAATGACATCTGCACCAAGCAGGACCATTACATCACAACAAAGAGGGAAGAACTCTTTGTTGCCATTAAGTGCCCATTAGGCCAATTGATTGGCAATCCTTACAGGGAAAATGGCTGGAAATTCTCTTTGCATCTACAAGCACTGCTCCAGCACATATCCCATATTATGTTGAAACAGCTTTTCACATGGTTGAAGACATTCAGAATTCTGGTGGGGAAAATCAACCACTGTCTTTACAATGCTACACCATACAGCTATACAGATGCATGATAAGGGTATGCATGGGGCAACAAGATTTTTCCTGGTTCCATGACAGCAGGAGAGTAACAAAAGCAACTGTGTGGATAAGTCCACACCCTGCAATGTACTGTAATTTGAGTGCTTCATGCCCAGTTAGTTCTTTGAAAGTTGTAAGAACAAATTGATGGATGGCATCTTCTTTTGAATGTCTCCTGTGAAGTCTTGTAGATTTCCACACTTAGAATTGATAATTTTAGAGGATAAAGGGGATGACAACATCGTAGAAACACAGCATATAAAATTGTTGAGTCTGATCATTATTTCCCAATATTACTCTCTTTGCAGCATGTAATTTTACTTGATTGCTGTAACATTTTCAAAGATGTGCCCCACAAGAATATTTGACGTTATGCCAGAAACAAATAGCAACTCTAATAAGAAAACAGCAAGCTTAACAAAGTTTTTGCATTGTATTGTATTGCATTGCTGGAGATACTTGTTATTTAGTCTTCTTTCACTTTCCCTAATTCTTCTCCAACCTGCCAGTCACAGATTTCTCTACAAAACACATACATTTTCTATAAAGTTACTGTTTGTGATATTTTTTAAAATTGAATTGGAAAGTTGTGCTACTTGTGTGGTACTGGTGTACTAGCTATTCTCTGAAGCCTGTCACTTCTGTTAATATTAGAGTGGCAACAATATTAACCTTGGCTGAAGTTGAATGCTACTCTTCTCAAGACTTCAAAGCCACCAGTATTACAATCCTGGAAGTTACTCAAAATATGAGAGATGGAGAAATCCCACAATGTAAAGGAAAGGATACAGGAGTAAGAACGATTAAATAACATGTCAACATGTATGACAAATATTGTCCATTCTCATTGCACATTGATTAGCTAAAGAGTGAAATTTTCCTTTCAGCTTGAATGATCCCAAAATTTTACATGCCCGTTTTTTTTTATTTTACTCTCTACCTCAGTAAAATCAACACTATGACATTAACAATTCTTCAGAAAGAATCTGTTGAAAATCTATCCACCAAAGTATATTCAATTATTGTTGCAATATAATATAAATAAAGTATAGCTTTTCTGACAACTTGGTTGCTAACATAAGCTTCACTTCACATTGAAAGCAAATAATATTTTTGTAAAAAGTCATTCAATCCCCCTACAGTAAAATACAACAGCAGTCAATCACATCAAAAGAACAGCTGGCTCTTTAGTCAAAGTTTACTTTTCATAAGGCATTCTTTCTATCCCAAAAAGGGAGATGGGAGAAAAAAACTATTCCACTGCAGTTTCTTTTGTTCCATTAATTGTTTTCCCTCTGTTTTGTCTCTCTTTACTTTTGCTTTTCTGAGGCATATGTTTGTATTAAACGATCATTTCTACATTATTTCACTTGGAAAGATCTAAATTATCTAGGAAAACATCCAGAAGACAGCAAAGCTAAAATTGTTAAAATTAACAATTACCATTGTTACCTGCCAAATTATACAAATTTATCTTACTGGATGGAATCACATAGTTGTATCAGCTGCAAGAGAACATTTGGGTCTCAGCAGATGTGTGTCTGTTTTTCTCAGTTCTACCCCACTGGAATTAATAGATGTGCTGTCCAGCCATGACTTTTTCAGGTGTTTCAAAATACTACTTAAAGTTGCTTACTATTAAAAGACTGAAATTGACATTTTTTCCTAATTTCTAACTATTTTGTTTTGATTTATTTAAAAAAAATTGGAAGAAGACTCTTGGGTGTCATTTATCTATGAACTCAATTTTATATCTTTATAAGATGTACTTGGAAAACTTACAACTACAACAAACTTTTGCTGCAAGACAGCATGTGCGTAATAGACATGATTAAAACAGAATTTTCTTAAAATGTAAAGTATTCATGAAAAGAAAACAAGTGCATCATTCTCTAGACCTTGACTGAGTAACTGTTCCTAACAAGAATAATAAAACTATAAAGTGATGGAGCAAGGAGTAATGGTTTTCAAATAAGTTGTGAGAGATTATGATGTGGAAAACCTTGGGGAGCTAAGCATAACAAAGAATAATAAAGGAAACATGAAATGCTTCTTGGTTGTGATTATTTGGAAACCTTCAATGGGAATTAACCTTGAGATATAGTGGGGTAATTATGTTTCCTGATACTGCATTGAGTTCTTCCATCTCTTTCAGGTCAAATTATTTGGTTGCTGATTAGATGACCAAATGATTAGCTAGAGAATCTAAGAACTTGTAGAACATGCTTAAAAACAGGAGTTTGGAATGGAATGAAGAGTTGTAACAAAAGAGATAGAAAGGAAGGAGAAGCAGGAAAAAATAAGAAAATGAAATAAGAGAAGCTAGCTAAATGTGTTTGGGTGAATGTGTCTATAAGCAGGAGAATGAGAATGATCCCATGAAATTCCAGTTCTGCTCTTGAACATGTGAAGCTTCTCAATTCTTCCCTGATCATCATATCAGATTTAAAGTTTAATGAAACACAGCTTCATATTGGTGTAGAAAACTATGAATTTTTTTGTGTATTCAATGGTAAGTCCCATTTCTCTTAGAATCTGTTCAAAATGAAATAGTAGCTTGTGCAAGAAGTGGGTTGTCAAGTTTTTGGGTACCACGTGGAGTGTCTCCAGTCATTGTGGTATGAATTGAATTGAATTGAATTTATTGAGTTTGTATGCCGCCCTATTCCCGAGAGACTCAGGACGGCTCACAATAAAAAGGGAGGGGATACAAAAAATAAAAATAAAACAACAGTTTAAAATTCTGCAACAGCCATACCTCGAATGGGGCTGGATGATTCAACAGCCCC